GAAACTCTCAGACTGAAGAAGTCTCTTGGAGGAGAGACGAAACGTTTCATTAGAGAAGAACCCGTCCAGAAGACCTATACAATTTTTTTCTTTTTGATTTTTTACCTGGATTACTGAGATGCATCAGGAGATTGTGATTAAACATTTACACAGAGGGAGGGCAGCGTTAATGGACGGCAGGTAGCCTCGGACCACATGGGCACTTACAAAACAAAAAAACATAAGAAGCTGGTTTCCAGAGAAATTCTACCTGACTTCACAGTGAAACACATACCAAGAACACCGGGGGAGGGAACGTGAGATACAGCAGTTATGCAAACACGATTAAGTTGAGATAAAGTGACAAATCGAGAAACCAACTTGAGTTCTTCGCTGTGGTATTTCTCCACAGGAAGTAGAGCGATTGTCATCTCTGTTCAGGCTTTAATWTTGAATTTTATGCACGCGTTGTAAAACAGTCTCCAAAACTACAAAATCAAATTTTACAAACATCAAATTAATGCACTTTCTTAAAATTGCTTATTCAATTGCAAATGCTGGGTTTATAAACTGGTTATTTTTGGTTGTGTGGATGCACTGATTCAAATATTTGTTTTTCTTTTTTTTTCCTCCAACAAAATACACTGTAGTTATTTTATAACTAAACATGCTTCTTTTCTTTTAACATCATTGTCCTCATACCAAAACATGACTGCTGTCTTCGTAACAAAATAAAACTTCAATAACGATACTGATTCATTCATTTTAATGAATCGATTCACATTTTAAGCGGTTATAATTTATTGTTAATCGTTACATCCTCAGTTGGTACCAGCTCTGACCTTCCGGGTCGTCGTCCACGGTGAGTCCAGTCCTCTCAAGGGTGCGCGGGACGCAGCTGTCCACCTCGGGAACCTGAACCGGGGGCTCGCTTTTCTTCTTCAGGTTCTCGCAGTACTTCCTGACATCCTCATCTGCTCTCAAAACACACGTTTATCACTGAATTATTATCAGACACAAATGAAAACTTTTTTTTTCCTAATTAGAAATGTGTTATGGGGAAATGAGTTTGGTGGGATTACATTCTTATTTCCTGCATCTGAAGCAAATATTCTGGAGATTCCCTAACCTGATCATGATTAAAACAGTTTTCGCAATAAAAGTATTTGTTATTGTGAAAACTAAAATGGGACTACTTGGAGTTTGAATCATGAGTAATTAGTCTGGCGTTCCTTAAAGCAGCGGGTCTCAATTCTGCTCCTCGTCACCCACTATCCTGCATGTTTGAGTTGTTTCGCTGCTCTTCAGCGTGTCTTTAAAAGTACCCGTGACATCAAATTTTTGTTATACACGTGAATATATTTTTTGAAAGATATCATTGATAACATATTGCAAAACAAATTTCACGGCGCTGAGATGAACGGTTGTTGAAATATTCGCATGTGGGGCACAGTTGTGTTATAAGAGCAACATTACATTTCTATTTGCCATAACCACCTGGGCCCCAAATTTTWTTGTACATCTTAGACATTCACTCATAACATTTTCATGAAATTCACATATAGGAACTTATGGTGGGCACTCATGGCTATAGGTGGCCSGATGGCACCACTCTTGCCTCCTGTGCCCGGGCCCACCCCCCAAGGTTTGCATATAGACACTTAGGGTTTTGGGTTAGAGYAGTGGTGGAGGGGAAACTGGCACCACGCCGGCCTCTGCCTCTTCTTCTTTCCCTTTTTAATTGCTCTATAGAACAACACGCACCAACAGTACATCTGGGGGGTGTGGGTGTCAGGGTCTTTTTTCCCATCCTGTTCCCCGACTGCCATTTGGGGAGGGGGTCCTGAAGAAGGGCGGACCGCCGGGTGCGGTCCTGAGCTGTGGGTGGGCTCGGGGCTTGGACGGTCGCCGGGGGCGGGGCTGGCTCTCCGTCCTCCCTGGTGCTGCTTGGTCTCCTGAGGTGTGGCTCTTGGTTCCTGTGGGTGGCCCGCTGGCCGGGGTGGCTGCTGGGTTCCAGGGGGTGGATGGCTGGCGGGGGTGCACTTGATCGCTGGCGGTGTGGTGGGGTGGTCATGGGTGTGGCTTCTTTGCGGCGGGGGGCTGGTCGGGCGTCCTGGTGCGGCCCGGGCCGGGCCTTGGCTATCTGCTCCTCTCCACCTCAGAATAATTGGGTCTACCTCCTGGGTTTGGGTGTGTGCTGCCTCCAGTAGGGGGGTGGGTACATGTCCTGGACCTGGGGGGTATAGAGTGTGTATCGGGGGTATGAGTGGAATGTGGCGTCCTTGTATGTCTTTGACTGAGTGGGGGTGAGGATGAGGGTGGGATGGTGCGATTGTGTATGTTTGGGTATTTGTCAGGCTGCGGTCTGGGCTGCCCCTACTGCTGGTTTATCTGGGGGCCCGATGCTACTCGGCCCCCCCGGTGGGGTGTGCGGCTGCTTGGGGGTTCCCGGGGTCTGGGGCTGGGCGCTGGGGTGTGTGCCAGCCTGGCCTGGTGACTGCCTGCTGGGGCTCGGGGCCTCTGGACCTGTCGGGCTTTGGCCTGGAGGGGGTGTGCCCTGGGGGCCCGGACCTCTGTGCCCTTTCCTGGATCTGCTCTGGTATGGCGGGTGCCGGTGGGGCCGATGAGTTTGTCGCTGCTGGACCCGGGGGCTGTGCGTGTAGTCGCTGGGGGGACCCTCCCAGTTCTCCCCTATGGTCTGATCTGGGGGGTGGGTGGGCAGATCTTCCCCTGTGGGTGCCCCTTGGGGCTCTGCGCTCGGGATTCCTCTCGGGCCCTTGGGCTCTGGTCTTCCCTATGTCTGCCTCGTGTCTTGGGGGTTGGGTCTCGGTCCTCCACAGTCACTATTAAATATTCCATTGGAGAAATCTTGTATATACACGCATGTTCACAACTGCTCACAGACAGGTGCTCTGATCCGGGGGGTTCTGACTGGTCACTGAGTGTGTATATATGTCTGTGTGTATATACTGACAATATTTATGAATGTAGGCATGTATGTATGTATATCTTTATATATGTATGGGTATGTGTGTATTTTTATATATGCCCTCCATGTATTTATCCATTTATTTTTCAGGTGAGCGGACAGATGTTGGGTGTGTGGTCCTKTGTTTTGTTGGTGTATAATTAATATAATCCTAATCGCTATTTCAATCTTTCTATCTTTCTAATTACTTCTCTCTGTCTCTATTAAAAAAAGAGATATTCGCATGTGAAGAAACAGGAAGTGATGTCAAAGGAGAATATCTGCATGTAAAGTGTTGCTATAATAGACTGTAGAGAAAAATCTGATGTTTCTTTAGATTATTTTTGATTCTCTAYCAGAGAGATGAAGAGTCAAGAGCTCAAATAATGTTTCAATAAATGAAGACCTTTTCTGAAAAAGTTCCCCTTTGATGTCACTTCCTGTTACACGTTTAACGAGTCAAGATCACAAGAAAATATGACAGTTATATGACAAAATGGGTCAAATCAAGTGTATTATGCAAAGTTTCTCAAATATCCAGATGTTTCCTTTGACTTGAAGTCTGTGCATGTCACAGCCCATCACTCATTCATTTAAATCAGGCGTGCCAAGGCAGTGAAACAACCACAACATTAAAGAATAGTGGGTCACGAGGACCACTGCCTTAAAGGAACGCATATCTCCCGCTGCCTCTCAAGCCAGGGTGGTTCATGAGATATTTTGCTAACACAAATAGTTGGCTCATTTTAAAACTCGCACAAATCCTGCGCAATCTGTTCGGGCTCAGACTATGTGTTGGGGATCCTTTCCAGCTTTTACCGTCCAATTTTACCCCCTTTTTTTTTTAGCAATATCACCTGATGTAAATATGTTTTTATGTAAAACCAGATGGCTGTGGCGGCCATATTGAATCTGACTGGCTTCACATCTACTACACGGATGTGCAGCGATTATTTCGTGCACGGTCCATTAAAGTCCGTCCTGCGTTTCGTGAGATATTTTGCTAACACAAACAGTCCCACCTATTAAGGAGCGGAGGTCCTCCACGATGTCTCGCCTCTCCTTCTTCTCGAGGATCGACAACAACCTTCCCACCGACGCGTCCGAGCTGCGCGCGGCCCACTCCACCAGGACGGTTCTGGTGGGGTCGGTTAAGGTCTTGTAGTTCTCGATCTCCAGGTAGGAGAAGCCCATTTCCTCCGCCACCTCCATCCAGTCGGCGGCCACCGTGTGTTTGGGGTTCAGGTAGAGCCCCAGCTTTTTCCTCACCGTCACGTTCAGCGCCACGAGAGGAACCGTGCACAAATCCACCACCACCTCCGGCTCGGTGCCGGCCATGTTCGTTGGCAAGGTGGCTTAAAGCGAGGAAGAAGCGAACATTATGGGTACGGACGTGATTTTGAAAGCCCACCTCCCTATAGAATCCGGAAGTGGTGCGGCCAAGGCTGATGACGTCACTCAGGGAGGAAATGGCCTGTTTGTTTATTGGTTAATAAATGCCCTTTTTTACTGGGACACTTTTAAACTGACCTGAAATAGGATTTGTTTAAACAGCGTAATTATCCAAATGTCTTAAAATAGAACAGTGTAGTTTATGTTCCTTTAATAATGTTTAAAAAAACATAAATAAAAGCTCCACATTTAACTGTATGAAACGATGACATTTATTGCATTTGAACATGTAACAAAAAAAAAAAAAAACAGGAAATGCAAACCAAAAACACAGAAAACCAGCAAAGAATCCACAAAAGGCACCTTATGTATCAGTTAAGAAAAAATAATAATAATAATAAAATAAAATCACCTCCTCAAATTTGCATTAAACAACATGACTTAAACCTATAAAGTATCTGCAACCCAGATTTTCACAAAAAAAAAAAACATTTAAAATCTCTGAATCTCTCGAATGTTTACAGGTTTTTGCTCCTGGAGAAGTAGAAGTCGATGCCTCGGTCCCGGTGTTGTTTGGGAGTGTGAGACGGGCCTTTCTTTCCTCTTGGTGAAGGTCCTGCATCGCTCTGTGGCGAGGGGGGGGGAAATGCATTTTATATACAATTTAAAACCACAAGAATGAAAATAAAAATCACAACCTTGTTAGGGGACAAAAATCGTTTGAGAGTTCTGTAGAAAAATTATGAACAAGTAATATCTTACCTGCTGTAGACAGATTTTTGAGCAATCTTAGTGACAATCTGTTTTTAAAATGTATAAAAACTAAACAGCTGACAGTAATTTTACAGTCTTTGTTTTACACTTGAAATAATTCCCTTTTAAGCAACTCGTGCAGACTAGCCATTAGTTCATCAGTCTCATCAGAACTGATCTATTGTTCCAGATTAAGATTGCTCAAAGGTACAGGTACATATTTAATAAGTACTAATTTATATTATTACTCCCAAACTCAAGCCGTTCAAAAAGCTACAAACAGGTTCATAAACTTTCTGCAGAAAGCGCCAAACGTTACTGCAAAAATGTTATTTGCAGCCGTTATGGAGAAGTCTCTCTTCAGTCAAACTATCCACTTCCCTTTTCTCAAACACTCACTGGTTTCTTGTTAAAGTGTCGGCTCCATTCTGGCGCGATGACAACCGGGGTGGGGTAGGTCTCGCTGAGGGCCACGTGCGCGTGCGACAGCGCGGCGGCGCTCAGGTTCCAGGGCGTGTGCACATCTGCTCCTCTGATGGAGCTCAACTCTGGAACCCACTGCCGCACGTAGTCACCCTGAAGCACGAGCCGCACGGGATGATTCGGTGAGCAAAAATAACTTTTTTTTCTTTYTTTTTTTAAACTGTACCTGTGCCACCAAAACAAAATTATGACTCAGGTATTCACAGTCATGTGACGTGTGAGTGAGAGGAACTGATCAAACTTACGTTGCTGTCGTAGTCCAGGGCTTGTTTGATCATGTTGAACTTCCTGTTCTCTCTGGGATCGTTTCCTACACCRGCGCTGTAAAGCCAGTTTCCATAGTTGCTGCAGACGTCGTGATCAATCTTTAAAAAAATAAAAATATATATACATATTGTGGTAAATCAAGATTTAGACATGTAACATAAATACAACTTGCTCAAGATTAGTTGCCACAAATAAATATAATGATAAACTTTCACAGGAACGTACCAAAAGGTATTCAAACCACTCTGCACCCAACCTCCAGTCCAGACCCAGATCCTTTGTGAGGAAACTTGCAACGTTCTGTCGCCCCCTGTTGGACATGAAGCCCGTCTGAGCCAACTCCCTCATGTTGGCGTCCACGAAGGGTACTCCTGTTCGCCCCTCTGTAAAAACACCCTGTTTAAATGCAGCTCTTTAGGACTAAAACTGATTTCATAAGATGTGTGTGTTGTGGATGCAAACCTTTCCATGCGTCAAACAGCTTCATGTCCCTCTTCCATGGCACCGATTTATCCTGAAGCCCTACCACCATGTGAGATTTACACTTGTTAATAAAAGCTAGAGAATTTACATTTCCTGCCAAAATGCAGTGTGAATGCTTCCTGAAGGCTAATTATGGGATACATCTTGTGCCAGCAGGAATTGAATGTGAATTGCTGATTGAATTTGAATGTGAATAATTTGAAATTGAATGCATTGGTTTGAAAATTTATTTTATTGAATTGAAACTGAACTGAATGGTTTGAAACCAAATTGAAAGTTTTGTATTTGAATTAATTTGCTTTGAAACTGTATTTTGGTTTATTAAAAATTCAGTTTGACTACTTTCACTTTCAGTTCCAAAATTCAGATTTTTGTGTCACATCCTGGTCCTTGAGAAAGCCAGCCAGAGTAATCAATCACAGATTGACAGATTTACGCTTCCCTTCTGTATGTAACAGAGTTGATGCAATCCATCGTAAAAGTGACAAAAACAGACAAAGTTATTTTATTGCAGTGATTAATTTTACCTAAATGTAGAAAATGTTACATTTACATCAAATCACAGATCACATATTGATCTGATGCTGCTGACTGATCCATGATGTAAATGTAGCATTTTCTACATATAGGTAAAATTAATTACTGCAATAAAATAACTTTGTCTGTTTTTGTCACTTTTACAGTGGATTGCATCAACTCTGTTAAATTACAGATGGGAAACTTCACCAAAATGAAACATAAATCTGTGGATCTGTGTTTGATTACTCTGGCTGGCTTTCTCAAGGACCAGGATGTGTGACACAAAAATCTGAATTTTGGAATTGAAAGTGAAAAACTGAAATTTTAATAAACCAAAATACAGTTTCAAGGCAAATTAATTCAGATACAAAACTTTAAATTC